GAAAACTCATTCCCAGGGTAACTTTATTAATATTTGAGGTGCACAGATGCTGAGTACCACAGATTTGTCTAAGGCAGTATGCTTAAATCGTAAATATAACACAGAAAAAGGAAGCAATATACTGTACATGATTTGTTGGAGGCGGATGGCTACTCTTTTTAGTGCCAATGGCTTTTTTTTTAAGAAGAAAAAATCCTGAAAACATAATTGCGCATTACTCAATAAGGTAATACCCTCGAAAAACCAAACAAACGTACATATTTATCAGTATCTAGTATTTATGGGATTAAAGTAAGCGTATAAATACAGCAGTAAAAAGGGTATGATCTTTGTTTAAAGACTGGTCTAAGAATGTGATATATAGCGTAACTATTGAATTACATTCTTCTTTGAATTTCTGTTTTAATGGCTGTGTCTGAGAGCACTTACAAGTAGACATTCTCGTTTGTTCGCTCACTGCACGTTCCATTGATTTCTTGTCTGCTGAGCTGAGTTGATGTGACTGAGATTTATCACTTAAATGGCAATGTATCCTCCAGTGAATCATTTTAGTTTCTTTTCTTTATCATTCATGGCATGGTATACAATCTATGTAATCTCGAAATGAGATTCACAATTTATAGCATCAGAGACCTTATTTGACTGAATGTTTCTCCTCTGTTTTGGGGAAACGAAAGCTTTAGCTAAAGAGTTCAGGATGACTTGTGGTGTTTGGGGTTTTAAAAATATATTACAATATATTTAACTGTTTGGCCAGAGTTACTCACCCTGGGAGCCGCATCTGATCCTCCACCAAAGCCAGAGAGCGGGGGGGGGGGCGTGTACTGAGCAACCTGCAATGAAGGTGACCACCCTGCACCGCCGAGCTGCTCCAGCTTTCCCCATGGGGAGTATGTCCCGAGGTAAGCGGCATGGCCGCAGCCCCTGCCCCCAGCAACCCGGTTTGCCCCGACGCCGCCTGAGGGAAGTGGCCAGGGCTTTGGTGGAGACACCCCGGAGAGCTGCAAGTACCGTGCCAGTGAGCCTCGTGCAGCTTGCAAGCCGTGCTTTGGCCACTGTGGGTCTAGAGGCACTGTCCTGCTAGTAGTAATTTTGGCAAGGGATGACATCGTACTAAGATAAGCAGCTCATACGCTGTGGAGAGCGGTGATTTTGTTGGGTCTCTGGGGCTGCTTGTACACTTGATGGGAGTTTAGTTCTCCCTAAGTTGAAACAGTGGGTTTTTAATTGGTGGGCTTTTTAATTGTGTCGATTTAAAAACCCACCATTTCAATTTAGGGCCTTCTGACACTGTTACAGAGCACTGACAGCCCCCCCCGTCAGCTTCCCACCCCCATCCCCCC